TGCCTGTGTTCTCCTTTAGGATTTTGATGGACTCCTGTCTCACATTGAGGTCTTTCAACCATTTTGAGTCTATTTTTGTGTTATTCTATAGCTATTTTTTGGTGGTTACCATGGGGATTGTATTTAGCATCTTAAACTTGTAGCATTAATCTTACTTTGTACTAGCCTGCCCTCATTAACAAAAAAATTCTCCTTTACACCTTCGTTCTCAACTCCTTTAGTTCATGTCACAAAAGTATATTTTTATCTATTGTGTGCCCCCAGACTTAAAACTAATGACTCTTTTTTTTTTTTAAGATTTTATTTATTTATTTATTTGTGTGAGAGAGAGAGAAACAGCATGAGAGGGGAGAGGGTCAGAGGGAGAAGCAGCCTCCCCGCTGAGCTGGGAGCCTGATGTGGGACTCGATCCCAGGACTCTGGGATCATGACCTGAGCCAAAGGCAGTTGTTTAACCAACTGAGCCATCCAGGCGCCCAAAACTAATGACTCTTTTAAATGCATTAGTCTTTTGAATTATGTAGAAACTACCTGTGGAGTTATAACCTGAAGTTACAGTAACATTAGCTTTTAGATTAGTATAGTTTTTTTTTTAATTAGTCTCCTAAATCATGTAAAAAAACAAAAAGTAGAGTTATAAGCCATTGTTAAAATAATATTTTTATAATTGTTCATGTATTTATTTTTATTGAGATTTTTTATTTTTTTATATGGCTTTGAATTACTGTCTAGTGTCCTTTCATTTCACCCTGCAGGATTTCCTTGAGAATTTCTTGCAAGGCAGGTCTAGTGATAACAGACTTCCTAGGGTTTTACATATGGAACTGTCTTAATTTATTCCTCTTAAAGGACACTTTTGCCAGATATAGGATTCTTGGTTGACAGTTTTTTTCTTTTACCCTCGAATATATTGACCCACTGTTTTCTGGCCTCCCCAAGTTTCTGATGAGAACTCTGCTTGTAATCTTATTGAGAATTTCTTTTTGTGACAGGTTGCCTTAAGCTTGCTATCAAGATACTCTGTTTAGGGCGCCTGGGTGGCTCAGTTGGTTAAGCGACTGCCTTCGGCTCAGGTCATGATCCTGGAGTCCCGGGCTCGAGTCCCACATCAGGCTCCCTGCTCAGCGGGGGGTCTGCTTCTCCCTCTGACCCTCTTCCCTCTCTTGCTATCTGTCTCTCATTCTCTCTCTCTCAAATAAATAAATAAAATCTTTAAAAAAAAAAAAAAAGATACTCTGTTTATCTTTGGGTTTCAAAAGTTTGATTGTAAGTTTTATTGGTGTGAATCTATTTTAGTTCATCTTTCTTGGAGTACACTGATCTTTTTGGATATTTATTATTGATGTCTCCATCAAATTTGGGACATTTTCAGCCACTTGTTAAAATATTTTCTTTTACCCTTTCTCTTTCTGATAAATCCCACAATGAGTATATTAGTTCTTCTACTGGTGTATCACAGGTCCATTAGGGTATGTTCACTTTTCTTAAATCTCCCCCCTCCCCCGTGGATATAATTTTCATTTTCTGTATTTAAGTATGCTGATTCTTTCTTCATCCTACTGAAATCTTCCTTTGAATCCTTGCAGTGAATTTTTCATTTCAGTTATACTTTTCTTTTTGGTTTCTTTTTAGGTTTCTAGCTTTTTGTTGATATTTCCATTTTGTTTATACATAGTTTTCTTGACTTTCTCCACATCTTACTTTAGCTCCTTGAGCTTCTTTAACATGGTTGTTGTAAAGTCATGTCCAATATGTCTGTATCAGGTGTTTTTTGGAACAGTTTTTGGAAGGGTTCCTTACGTGCCCTACCGTATCCTCAGGGACTTGTTACACTTCTGGCATTGATGTATAGCAGTACATGTACAAAGTATTGGCAACCCAGGAATTTCACCTAGCTTGAGGGTCCAGAGTTTTATTTACTGTCATTACATAAGCACAGTTGATTGAGTCATTTCCTACATGACTCTGTCCAGAGGCCTAGTTGCTATCTTACAGCTCAAAGCACTAGCCCTCTAATTACATGTGGTCATGCATTGCCCTCAGTCATCTTTTAAGCATGAACTATCAGGGTTCCAAATGAGTTACCTATTTGCATAAATATCCAGTCTGGAATTGACTGTGTCTCCTCTCCTGCACTTTGTCTTCTAACCCAACCACTCCCCCAGGTCTCCCTTTCATGGTGTCAGTAGTCCTAGGACTCTTGGAAATAAAAGACATTGTTGTCCAGGGATTCAGAGGTAGCAAGACACAGAGACACTATTTTCATCTTCATTTTTTTCTCTTCATTTCACTGAAATGCTCATTTTTTTCTATGTTGGCATTACCAACAGACCTTTTTGTGTATTGGATTTCTTTCAGGTGACAAAGGAAAACCCAAGATCACAGAATCTACTGCTAGTGAGCCAGCCCTGTCTGAGGGAGTCTCCTTCCAGGAACGACTAACACAAGGAGTTCCAGGGATCTCCCAGGTGGGCCGAACTAAGGATCAGGATGGGTCATTGGAAATGCAAGAAGGACACCTGATACCAGAGATAGACCCCCAGAAGGAGAAACTCCCTGGGAAATCAAGCTCTGAACATGGCAACATAGGGACAGCTGATAATGTGTGTTCAGGGGTTGTAGAGGAGCCAGTCCCTTTGGGAAGTGCTGTCCATGACCATGATTCATGTGGGTCAGGTAAAGATTCTGTGATTCAGGAAGAAGAAAATATCTTTAAATGCAATGAATGTGGGAAAGTTTTTAACAAGAAACGCCTCCTTGCTCGACATGAGAGGATTCACTCTGGAGTGAAGCCCTATGAATGCACCGAGTGTGGGAAAACATTTAGTAAAAGCACTTATCTCCTTCAACACCACATGGTCCACACAGGGGAGAAGCCCTATAAGTGTATGGAGTGTGGGAAGGCCTTCAACCGTAAGTCACACCTTACACAGCACCAGCGGATTCACAGTGGAGAGAAGCCTTATAAGTGCAATGAATGTGGAAAGGCCTTCACCCATCGCTCCACTTTTGTCTTGCATAACAGAAGCCACACTGGAGAAAAACCCTTTGTGTGCAAAGAATGTGGAAAAGCCTTCCGAGATAGGCCAGGTTTCATTCGTCACTACATCATCCACAGTGGCGAGAATCCCTATGAATGCTTTGAGTGTGGCAAGGTATTTAAACACAGGTCATACCTCATGTGGCACCAGCAGACTCACACTGGGGAGAAGCCCTACGAGTGCAGTGAGTGTGGGAAAGCCTTCTGTGAGAGTGCAGCCCTCATTCACCACTACGTCATCCACACTGGGGAGAAGCCCTTTGAGTGCCTAGAGTGTGGGAAGGCCTTCAACCACAGATCATACCTCAAGAGGCACCAGAGGATTCACACTGGGGAGAAACCCTATGTGTGCAACGAGTGTGGAAAGGCCTTCACCCACTGCTCTACTTTCATCTTGCATAAAAGGGCCCACACTGGAGAAAAACCTTTTGAGTGCAAAGAATGTGGGAAAGCCTTTAGCAATCGTGCAGACCTCATTCGACACTTCAGCATCCACACTGGAGAGAAGCCGTATGAGTGCATGGAGTGTGGGAAGGCCTTCAACCGCCGTTCAGGGCTCACAAGGCACCAACGGATTCACAGTGGAGAGAAGCCTTATGAATGCGTCGAGTGTGGGAAAACCTTCTGTTGGAGCACAAACCTCATTCGACACTCTATCATCCACACTGGAGAGAAGCCTTATGAGTGCAGTGAGTGTGGAAAAGCCTTCAGTCGCAGCTCATCCCTCACTCAGCATCAGAGGATTCATACTGGGAGAAACTCTGTCAGTGTAACAGAAGTGGGAAGACCCTTCCCGAGTGGGCAGTCCTCAGTCAACCTCCAAGAGCTCCTATTGGGGAAAGACTTCTTGAATGTAACCACTGAGGAAACATCTTACTCAGAATCTGATCATTCATACCAAAGAGAAACCCCTCAGTTTCCTTCCCTATGAGAAACCCTTTTGTTGCAGGGTATCATTTGTCATCTAAGGAGTCAGACTGGAAATTTACCCAGTCTAGAGCTTTATTCTACATCTGAGAATTCATCCAGGGGAGACCCAGTGGTTATATGCACATAGGAAAATCTCCAGCTACATCTCTTTCCTTAATTTACACTGCAGTATTACCTCAGGAAATTTTTTTTTTTTTTTTCTAAAGAAAGGAGAGACTTAGAAGAGAAAATGAACTGCAAACACAAACACATTTTCTTCCAGACTTCCTTGCCAAGCCTTTGGCACTTTGTGTTGAATTCCCTAGTTTACTTGGCAGGAGAAGGGTTTTGTTTTAGAGGTAAAGGACCTAGACTTTTATGTGTCTTGTATATATATTCATTACTGTCCAGTATCAAGAGAGTTAATTGAGGGCAGGTTTGGAAACTTCATGAACGTCTTCTTTGTTCTAAAACATTGTCTCTGTTCTTAAGGAGCTTAATTTTTGTGAGAAATATAAAGGCTGGAGCCATCAAACACCTTTATATTTGAGGAGATAAGAACACACATATGAATGGGCACATTTTATTGCACCAGTTAAAACTGTTTAAGGCTTTGATTTTTTTTTGAAAAAACGAACCTTCATGTGGTTTTAAGGAGCTGATACTTAGACTTTTTCTTGGTCCTGTACTATTGGTTTACTTGATTGCTGTAATTAGATGGTAAATCTTCTAGTTGTGTAAGATAATTTCTCTCTTTATTCTTTTTATTTAAAACTGGTTTAACAGTCATTACTTTGAATTTCCACATAAAGTTTTGGAGAAGCTTGTCTATTTTAATGAAAAACTATTGAATTTCAGTAGAAATTGAGTTAAATTGTCAGATCAATTTGTTGAGAATTGGCATCTTTACCGTGTTGAGTCTTCAATTTATGAACACAGTATGTCTCTATGTTTATTTAAGTATTGCTTGATTTACTTCATCACTGTTTTGTAAATTTCAATAATAGGTCCTGCATGATTTTTATAAGGTTTATATCTAGGTGGTTTTTTTTCTTTTATTATAAATGGCATTGATTTTTAAACTCTCAATTTCCACACAAGTTTTGATAGTGTGCAGAAATGTAATTAAAATTTGGATGTCATTTTTGTATCCTGCAACCTTGCTGAACTGTAGGCATTTATTTGTTTGATAGAATGCTTGGGGTTAGAAAACATAGAAATATCATCTACAAAAGAGACAGTTTTATTTCTTCCTTACCATCTGTATACCTAGTATTTTCTTGTCTGCTGTACTAGCTAGGATTTCCAATATGATGTTGAACAGTATTAGTAACTACTTGTCTGGTTTCTGATATTAGGGGGAAAACATTCAGTTTTTCATCAAGTATGATGTTAGTATGAGGTTTTCTTTATAGAAGTTTCTTATCAAGTTTAGAAAGTTTCCCATATTCCTGATTTGCTGTGGTTTTGTTGTTGTTGTTGTTGTTGTTATGAACGGGTGTTGAATTTTATCACATATTTTTTCTCTACCAGTTGATATAATCTTGTTTTTTTCTTAGCTTGTTGATATGATGTATTACATTGATTTGAGTTTTGAATGTGGAATCAGCTTTGTTTTCTTGAAATAAGCCCTACTTGGTTTAGAGTATAATTATTTTTATATATTAAATTACAGTATTCAGTATCCTAGTATGTTGTTGAGGAAGTTTTCCTCTAATTTCATGAGTGGTAATGATACATAGTTTTCTTTCTTTCAGTCGTTTTTGTTTGTTTGTTTTTTGCCTTTTGTTTGTTTCGTACTGTCATTGGTTTTGGTGTCTAGGTGATAGTGGCCTCCCAATATATATTGGGAATATGCTTTTATTATGTGGAAAATAGTATATAGAATTGGTTTTATTTTTAATGTTTGGTAGCCAGTGAACCATTTATGCCTGGAGTTTTTTCTTCAGATGCTTTTTAATTATGTATTTATTTTATTTAATATGTATAGAACTGTTCAGAATATCTATTTCATATTGGATGAATTTTCATAGTTGTCCTTTTTTAGGAATTGTTCCATTTCATCTAAATTTTCTTACTTGTTTCAAGTATTCCTTTATTACATTGTTTATGATGGAAGAATCTGTACTTATATCTCCTCTTAGATTCCTGATATTGGAAATGTGTCAACTCTCTTTTTATCTTTGTTAATCTTCTTAGATATTGATCATTTTTTTGTATCTTTTTAAAGAAGCAGCACTTTATGCCACTGTTTTTTCTCTGTTACCGTTTTGTTCCTAATTTCACTGATATCTGTATTGACCTTTATTATATCTGTTCTTCCATCTGCTTTGGTGGTATTTTCCTCTGTAATTTCTTATGATGGATGTTTAGATTATTGATTTGAGATTTTTTGCTTTTCTAATGTAAGCATTACGTTCTATAAATTTTCCTCACAGCACTTTCCTCACAAGTTGTAGTACATTTTAATTACATTTCATTTGGTTCTAAAAATTTCTTTATTCAAGACTTCCTCTCTAATTCATAAATTATTTAGAAGTATATTGTTTAATTTCCTAGTGTTGAGAGTATTTCATGCTTTTTGTTAATGACTTCTAACTTGTTTTATGTTTGATCTGGTTGTTTAAATTTGTTGAGGTTTGCTTTGTGACCCAAAATATGGTCTATCTTGATGAATGTTTATAAGGTTGCTTGAAAAGAATGTGTATTCTACTGTCATTGGATGGAGTTTGTATAAATGTCCCCATGATCCTGTTGGTAGATGATGTTACTCAGATTTTCTTTATCCTTGCTGATTTTCTGTTTAGTATTGCTCTCAATAGCTGAGAGAGGGATTTTGAAGTCCTGCAGTATAATTTGGAATTGTCTGTTTCTCCTTTTAAGTTCTATCAGTTTTTGCTTTGAGTATTTCAAAGCTCTGTTGTAGGTGCATACACATTTAGGATTGCTCTATCACCTTGGTGTGTTGACTTTTCTTATCATTATGTAATGTTCCTTTTTGCCCCTGTAAATTTTCTTTGGGGTATACTTTAACTGATATTAATATAGTCACTGTTGCATTTCTTGGGTAATATTTTGTGGTTTTTGGTTTATATTGTTCCATAATTTTATTTTCAACCTTATGTATATCATTACATTTGAAGGCAGTCCCCAGGAATAGCACATATTCAGGTCATGCTTTGTTTTTATCCATTTTGCTGATTTCTTTTTTAAATTGCTATATTTAGACCATTTAAGTTTAAAATAATTACTGATACGTTAGGGCTTAAGTTTGCCAGTTTATGATTTGGTTTTTCTTTGTTCCCTGTTTTATTTTTCCTCTGTTGTTTTGGGGGTTTTTTGTTTTTTATTTTGTGTTTTGCCTTCCTGTGGGTTACTTTAATTTTTAGAATTCCATTTGATCTATGATATTTTTTAGTTTATCTCTTTGTATTTTAGTAGTTATTTTAGGTATTGTTTTATACACATATAATTTATCATGGCCTATGGTATCAACACCTTAGCACTTTGATATGTAGAAACCTTACTTTCATTGGGTCCCTTTACATTCCCCACTCTTTAATATAATTGTGTTAAGTATTTCCTCTTTATACACTGAGCATCATATTGGATGATGATTTTTGCTTCAACTATCAAACAATTTTTACAAAACCCATGAGAAGTGTAGTCTGTTTACCTCTACTTTTATCCATTCCATTGTTCTTTCTTCTTGAAATCTCAAGATTTTTTTCTGTTAACATTTCCTTTCTTTTTTGCAAACTCCTATACAGATCTTCCTTCACTTATGATGGAGTTACATGTCGATAAACCCATTGAAAGTTGAAAATACCGTAGTCAGAAATGCATTTAGTGCACTAACCTACTGACCATAGTTTAACCTAGCCTATGTTAAACATACTCAGAACACTTACATTAGTTTACCGTTGGGCAGAGTCATCTAACACAAAACCTATTTTATCATAAAGTCTTGAATAGCTCATGTAATTTATTGAATATTATACTTAAAGGGGAAAACTGTGATTGTATGTGTACTTATCATTAACATACACAGCTGGGCCTAAAGAATGTTTGAGGTGGTGAACTAAAATTAATTGCTGGGTAATGGGGATGCTACAGTTGACAGGTCATCAATTTCTCTTTCTTACGATGAGGCTGAAGAATAGCTGGTAGAAGGCAGCAGGGCAGCAACACTTGTTGATGGTTTAGGTTCTTTAGGAAGTGTTGATAGTGTTCTTTAGGAAGATACCAAGTTTTGACTGTGCAGTTTGTTTCTTCTTTTCATTCCGTATTTTTCTGTAGCAAGCAAGAGCATCCTGTATCTGCCCATGAGCTCTTGTGAATGTCTTGTGACTGACATCCATTTCTTCTGACATCCAAATGCCATTGATACAGTAGCAGAGTCCTCTGTTTCCTGTGACCTTTCTTGGTGCTTCATGTGTAACTTCTTGTGCGTCAGCTTCTTTATTTCTTTGTCCTTCCAGTTTGATTAGCTCCTCAATAGAAAGCTTTTCAGCCTCAATGCCAACAAGGTCAGGAACATCCTCCTCATTAATGTCCAATTCTGGCTGTTTCCCAAGCACTAATATCTTTCTTTTTACTTAACATTCATCAACAGCAGAATCTTTGTTAAAGCCTCTGAATGTGTTCACATATATCTTCCATCATGCATTGCTACCTGACTTCTCATTGTGTAGTGATATTCTGAAGAGCATTTAGAATGTGAAAATCTTTCTAAAACGTCGAGCATTTGGCTAGACTCAGTCACTTCAACAGCCTACACAAATGGCATAAATAGTATGCTTTGAACATAGCTGTTGCACCTTCGTCCATTGATTGAATGAGTGTAGTTGTGTTTGCTGGCAAATGTACAACCTTTACATCAGGATGCATGTCCGTGAAATGCTGTGGATGCCCTGAAGCATTATCTCAGATAAGAAGTGTTTTTTTTTTTTAAGATTTTATTTATTTATTTGATACAGAGCACAAGCGGGGTGGTGGCAGGCAGAGGGAGAAGCAGTCTCCCCGCCAAGCAAAGAGTCTGATGTGGGGCTCCATCCCAGGACCCTGGGATCATGACCTGAGCCGAAGGCAGACGCTTAACTGACTGAGCCACCCAGGCGCCCCCAGAAGAATCTTGAATAGAACATTGTCTTGCCTACAGTAGTCTCCTGCCTGTGGAATAAAACAGTTGGAAAACCAGTCTTTAAACAGTGCTAATGTCATCCAAGTTTTCTTGTTATGGTGATAATAAATGGGAAGCATATACTTGCTCACATTCTTGAATACTGTAGGGTTCTCTGAGTGGTAGAGTAGAAAAGGCTCTCATTTGAACTCTGCAACATTTCCACCCCAAAGCAGCATTATATGTCTTTCAGTGCCTTGACTCCTGGCACTGTCTTGGACTCGACAAATGTATGAATGCACCAGCATACACTTCCAGAACAAGCTTCTTTTATTGTCATTAAATATTTGTTCTGGCAAATATTTCTCATCCACAATTATCCTATGCAGCTCCTCCTTAAAAGTTTCAGCACCTTTGGTATTGGCACTTCCTGCCTCACTGCTAGCCTTCACATTATGGAAATTATGGTGCCTTATGAAGCACTGGAATCACGACTTTCTATAAACATTTGTGTATGTGTAGGATCATCAGCATGCTCTTTTAGTATATTGAAAAGACTTCTTGCCTTAGCCTGGATTGTCAGTGGGCTAAGCAGTATGTGCTTCTGTATTTGGTCTTCTATGTGACAAGTAATTTCTCCATGTTGTCAATTGGCCCATCTCTTTTCTTCATGATGAGAGTGGACTTAACCAATACTGACCATTAATATGGTTGATTGTTGATTAAGAATGTCCTAACTCACGTGTGATGGCCGTTATTAGCTTGCCACCTTCATGCTAGGTAATTATCTTGAGTTTCTTCTCAAGAGTAATTGACTTTCGGGCGCCTGGGTGGCTCAGTTGGTTAAGCGACTGCCTTCGGCTCAGGTCATGATCCTGGAGTCCCTGGATCGAGTCCCGCATCGGGCTCCCTGTTCGGCAGGGAGCCTGCTTCTGCCTCTGACCCTACCCCCTCTCATGTGCTCTCTCTTTCTCATTCTCTCTGTCTCAAATAAATAAATAAAATCTTTAAAAAAAAAAAAAAAGAGTAATTGACTTTCTCTTTTCACCAGAAGCAGGAGACACAGATGGGTGTTTTGTAGACATGATGGGATGGGAAAACACAAGACCAATATCCAAAAATGGCTGGCAACATAGTACACTGTAGAGTATCAGTAGTTTACCCTTGTGATTGCGGGGCTGACTGGGAGATGTGCTGCCTCTGGCCTCACAAGGGAGTACCACACTCCATATTGCTAGTCTGAGGGAAAAAAATCAAAATTCAGATTTTGAAGTACGGTTTCTGCTGAATGTATATCACTTTCACAGTATCGTAAGGTCAAGAAAAATCCTAAAACCATTCTAAGTCAGGGATCCTCTGTAGTCTTTCTTATGGGGAAGGTCTTCTAGTAACAGATGTTTTTGTTT